TCTCCTTTGCCCTTAGACCATCCCAAACACAGGATGATCTATCCTGTTCTTAAAGACCTCCAAGCAAGAGTCCACAATCACTCTTAGCCAAACATTTATAAATAATTTCCCTATGGCCTTTCCCCATTGCTCTGGATACACTTATACTTCCCATAGCTCTTCCATAAAGGAAATAAAAATATTGTAGCCAGGAGCTTGATAAGACCTACATAAATGACTTTTTTTGTGGTGCTAGGGAGTAAACCCAGGGCTTCTATACTCCCATCCCCCCAAACAAAATAATTTCTTTTTTCTTGATACTGGGGATTGAACCCAGAGAAGCTTTACCTCTTGATCTACATCCCCTCAGCCAGTTTTATTTTTTATTTTGCAACAGAAGCTCATTAAGTTGCTATGGCTGGCTTTGAATTTGTAACCCTCCTGTCTCAGCCTCCTGAGTCACTGGGATTACAGACCAGCACCAAGGCACCCAGCAATAATTCTTAATCTTACCCAATAATCAATGTCATGAAAATTTTCTGATAAAAAATTAACTGAAAATTTATAAAGTATAGGTATAACCCGTTCTGCAAGTTTGTTCTATTCAACCTTTTGTGGAAATTGAAAGTTAAAGAAAAGCTTAACCATTACCCCTATCCTGACCTGGAAGAACTATGGAACTGCTACAGGAACTATGACCATTTAGAATTCAATGGCACTGATATTAGAAAACATTAATGCATTTGAGGTCAGCCTGGGCAACTTACAAAAATCCTGTCTCAAAATAAAATTAAAAAAAAAAAGGGGCTGGGGATATAGCTAAGGTGGTAGAGTGCACCTGAATTCAATCTCCAGTACCTTTAAAATAAAATTTTTTTTTTAATACCTAAATCTAGGAACTTCTCAATCACAAGCCTAAGGCCAAAAATAGGTTGGAGACCTATGTACAGATTAAGCCCAATTTTATAACATATAGCCCCAGAAATGAAATATATGACTAATCAAACAAATGAAAATATTATTTTTGTCAGGCACATGACCATGGGTACACAGATCTAGGCTTGAAAGGCACTGACTCAAACCTGGGAAAAAATGGATTGCTAATTTTACTTCTTCTGGACACCAGTGTTCACTATTTCTAATAATCACATAGGGCCAAACTATGCTAGTAATAAAAGGTTTGTGCTTTAACTAGTGGCTCAATTGACCTGCAGTCCCAAACCAGAAATAAGGTTTATATGTAAAAATCATCAATGCTGATAATCCGAGAAAAAAGCAACATCCCAAATGACCACAATGACATCTAAACACAGTGTCTGGTAAATATAGACTAGGAAATGTTCTGTCAAAATAAAGATGTGAAACCAGGAAGCAGATGGCAAAATTCTTTCTAAAACCTTAAGGAACATTTTAGGCACTGCTGACTGTTCTCCAAATAAAAAGAGATGTTTCATCAAGGGTAACTGAAGATAGTCACCATAATAACTGCTCCAAGCCTCTCTACTTGGCTCACGTGGCTGGCTTGAGAGGGGAAGCAGCCCTCGTCAGGGCATGAATGCACACCCTGCGAGGTGAGACTGGGGCAGCTCGCTGGCATTCTGGAGGAACTCCAGAGGCCTGGGCTGGGTTTCAGTCAAAGGCAAGGAATCCTCAACTCTACTTTCTGAAATAATGCTTTGTTAGGCAATCACCTTCTCTATTTGAGATTTCTTTTACGTTTTTGTCCCATTGTCTTGTTTTCTAGGCTGTGTATACACCTGAACCTTTCTAGACAACTGGGGAGTAATAGTATATACTTGTATGCTGCCTTTTCCCCAGATCTACTGCACTGATGTTTGGAAGACTCAAAGGAAACCATTAATAATGGAATATTTCATATTTTATATATAGGGAAACTGGCCTCAGGAGGACAGCTCTTCATTCATTTAATTTACATGAAAGCAGTTCTTTCTATAGGTCATAAAGTTGTAGGTGATGCGATAAAATGGGCTAGAAAAAAAGGATTTTTTTAGAATGGGGATGATACAAGATCGATTTCTGTAACTACCTTTTTATTCCTGAAAACCTTTTATTCTCAACCTAAACCTACCTCTACTCCTGGGGACTTCCCAGTGTATTTCTTTATGTCTTCTAGAGGCCACATGTTAACAACACCTTTTGTGATCTACATGAGTACAACTATATACATATGCAAAAGTATACAGGTATATGCCAAAGAGAAAGTTAAACCAAGAGGAGCACTTTTAATTTTAGGTGGGGAGCAGGGGGCGCTTGCTGGCAATTAAACCCTAGCCTTATGCATGCTAGGCAAGTACTCTATGACTAGCTGTACCATCAGCCATAAAAGTACTTTAATACTGGCTTAATAAATGCTCTCTTATCTACCTTACAGACTATAAATAGTATTTAGGCTTAAAAATATACAAAACAAAATTCTACAATCTGGCTTTTTTTGGTGCCGGGGATTAAACTCAGGGCTTCACATATGGCCAGGTAAGCACTTTACCACTGAGCTACAAAATAATTTTTAATATAATCTATAGAAATGTTATCCCTTTTCATTCCTCAAATCATCTTCAGAAAGCCAGAAAAATAAAAATCTTGTAGCTGATAGGGACCAGTTAAAAACACCAGAATTATTTTGTCATAAACAATATTCTTCTACTTTATATAAATGTACATCTACATCTAATCTTGGCATAATTTAAAAGTGATTATTGATATTTACAAAATTCAGGTCCAAGTGTTTTTCTCATTTTGTCTCTATTTAATCTATGCCAATCCTCAAGAAGGATGGTATGAAAGTGGGAAGAGGGGTAAATGTGGATCCAGAGCTGAGGCCAGGGCTTCATTCCTGGGGGCCTACTTTTGCTGAGTCTCACCCAGAATCTTGTCATTTTAGGCAATCATTCAAAATTGAATTATCACTTCCACTGGCCCTGACACTCCATGTCAATAGTTATTTCTTGCCTTATTCCCCTCAGTAAATATAAACAATTTATAGCTAAGCTGAGTGTAAGAAAACAGTTAAGGCCAAAAGAAACTTCATGTGTGCTGCTACTCTTGATAGGCCAGAGCTCAAATCATATACTTAGTCTTAACAAGAAAGCAAAAGGAGGGAGGGAGGAAGGGAGGGAAGGAAGGAATGATGTTATCTTTTAATTCACTAAATATCTTGACTGAGGCTGTAGCTCAGTAACACTTGCCTAGCATGCACAAGGCCCTGGGTTCAATTTCCAATACCACAACAACAAAAAAATTGTTTATTTAGAAAAATTCTAAACAAAATATATTAAATATATTTATTTTTATAACTTAACATGCACATTTTAATAATCTTTTTGTTTCCATACAAAACAATCCAGAGCTTTCTGAAGAAAAAAGAAAAAAAATGGCTACAGAGAACCCTTTAAACATAAACATGCATGGTTCAAATAGCAACAAGAGACAGGGCCTTCGTCATCACTGGTGAGCCAGTTTATTCCAAAACTTTAGGCAAATAACGGTGGTTCTTCTGTATCTTTTCCCCAAAAAACTTTATTATAAAGACCCATCCTTCATCCCAAAGGGTCATTCTTACTAATGAACCATGCCAGGCTCAGTAGCACACACCTGTACTCCCAGCTACTTGGGAGGTTGAAACACAGGGATCATTCGGAGGAGGAAGATCACTTGAGCCCATGAATTCAAGGCCAGCCTGAACAATACAATAAAACCCTGTTCTCAACAACAAAACATATGGCAGAGGAGAACCTCCATTTTCATAGAAAGAAAATGAGAGAGAAAAATAAAAAATAACAATATAGCATAAATATTTTTACCCTAAATAGCAAGGACTTTAGATAACATGTGGTAATAATTTTATGTACCTCAAAGTACATAAAATTTTAACAATATTTAAAAGAATAAAAAAAATCATCTTCTTGACTAAGTGTTTCAAGGCATGTCAAACTGCAGGTTTACATATGACAAAGTATTATGGACCACCAAATATGTACAAATAGGAACTGCAAGCATTTCAGTTCACTGAATATCCAAACCAAATAAGGTGCAAGGACCTACAGAATAAACACAAAGTCGGTCTACAGTGTTTGAGTTAATGGGATTTAAGACCCTTCTATTTTGTTCTGCAAGATAATTTTGAATAGTTCTGTTTTGTGTGTCCACAGTTATTCAGATAGAGATTTTTTTATTCTGAAACTCAGAATATTATAGGCCATAAAAAGCTTCAAACTCTAATGTTGGTATAGTCTGATTCAAACATTTAAAAATAGATCCACAGCTTTCATAAAAGTCCCTTGTCTATTGCAAAATATAACTTTTAAACAAGAATGTACCATACTGATAATTGTAGTTATCAAAAAAACTGACTGAAATAATCACTGAAATGTCAGTCCAGGAGACCCTTGATCTTCCTGTTTGGCTGGCATAACAACCTACATTTCTGTGCATTATATACTGACACCCCTAATAGACTTCCTATGCTGATTCTGGATGTTCGTGGGAGGCAGATGAATGAATTTACAGTTATTTTACTGTGCCAGAGTTGGTTTGTTAATAATTTGACTCTTAAATATTTCATTTGAGTACGTGGAAAACGCAAAACTCAATGGCTGATGTACTAGGAGGAATGAGAAAGCTTTAGCCTTAACTGAGTGCACACAGGATTTAAAACACAGGCTGTGTTCAACTGAGAAAAGAAGCAAATACAGGGAACATGCTGAAAAAACACTAGTTGAAAGTAAGTAACCTAATCGTACATCTAAAAAATGAAACATAATTAGAAATTCCAGAATGATTTATGTATGATCTCTAGAACTTTTCCCCATTTTTGTCCATAAAATGCTCACATATATTTTTAGGAATATACTGAGTAGGATATGAAAGAAAGAGATTTCATGTGCTGAAAACTGACCCATGACCAGTTTTTTTTTTTAATATTTATAGAATGAGTCTGTTAAGATTAGAAAAATTTGTTTTAGCAATCAACAAATGCAAGCCAAAAAAATTAAACACTAATCTACAGTAAAAGGTGCTACACAAGAGACATTTATTAATGTTCTGTTGTATTTACAGTTTTAATATAGCAAACCAAGGTGAATTACCACTTGGGCAGAAAGCACATCATTCTACATTTATAACGCATCAGTTTCTGCTAACACATTGTAAAAGCAAGTAGTACAGTATGTTAGGGATCATCTCAAAAGTTCCAAGCTAATTCTTTCTTTGCTCTTAGTACCTAATCCTCTGGGACTCTAATTATACAGTGTCAAGAATTACATTTTAGTAATTAAGTTGCATTTCTCCTTACACTTTCTATTTTATACAGTGACAACACCTTTAGAATTCCTTAGGTACATACCACATAACAATAAGGTACTGCAAAATTTCAAATACAGACCATAAAAATTAATATTTATTTATCAATTAAGAACATACATTTTTGACCACACCTTAAATGTATTTTTGTACTATAATTTTGCTTCCAGGTGTTCACACACAGTACAATAAATTTCTAGATTAATTTTAACAGCAAATACGGATTATGTGCAGAAATGCAGTCATAACAAAATTTTTAACTTTTGAGAAAACCCCTTTAAAATAGCCAGCCTTAAACATATCTTACACTAAAATCTTTTAATTCCCAATTTGCTTTGAGATGGAGGATGACTAAAGCAAGACTGCCCCCTACTGACTAAAGGGACATGGCTCCATGCTATTTAAAATGACTACAAACAATACATAAGGCATTATTAATACATCACAGACTTGATTGCAAGAGCTTTTTCAAACATTAACCACTAATGATTCAATGATTACAGAATTATGCATTAACTATTAAAATTTTACACCTAGGAACAAATAGAGAGAAATGATCTTTTCAACAGTACTTTATTTTTTAAAGCAGGTGATTATTCCTCTGTGTTCTGCATCTTGATTCACTTCCTGCAGGTGTTCTCTTGCTTCTTGAGAGAGAATTCATAAATGCAGGAAGGCCTTTGCCAGAAAACATCTGCCAGAGAAGGATATTGAATATTGAAACTCTAGTTAGCTTGTTATTTTGGCTGAGAGAAGGATGTAGTCACAAAAGAAAGCAGGATGTTTGGAGACACGAGAAGTGCATTTTAACATAGTTTTCAGATTACTATATAATGACATCATGGTATTCAATAAACATTCAATTTTTAGTCCTTAACATTATCAAGGCCTCAAAAACTAGAAAGAACTGGTCTGCTTTCTCTAAAAACCTTTGAGGGTAGGGGTTTCTCTCTTCTGTTCTAACAAAAGAACAGAATGAAGTAACAATTCACCCTACCTTTAACCCTGTCAGGAATGACTAAAACTTAGAACAGAATTCACATGCTCAAGTAATCTTCCTAACACACCTGAAGCTACTGTTTACCCAGACAATTCTGTCAATCTCACTTCCATTGAGGATGTTGATGATATCATGCTATATTTAAACAGACCAAGGCAAAATTTTAAAAACACACTGTAAACTCAATTTCCATAAATACTTTTTAAAAATAAATTTTATAAAAAGCCAAAGTATTCTGGGGGTTTCTCTGAAAATAATAAATATATGTAATCCTGAAATATTTTAAGAAAGTTATATATGATTGAAATATAGGCTATCAGAATAAAGTCAATAGTGCCCCTCTCACCTTTTTTGGTGGTATTGGGGTTTGAACTCAGGGCTTTGCTCATGCTGGGCAAGCACTCTACCATTGAGCAATATCCCTATCCTGTTCATACATCTTGTTAAATGCCCGTTTTAATTTAATACTTTGAGGCAATTCCATACTGGCATAGTAAATTGTTCTGATTCTCATGGAAATAACTTGGGAAAAACTACCAGTTACTTCCTATTTTAATGCTAAAAGACAAAACACTAAAGAGATAACATTGACTACTGTAGTAAACATTTATTGAGAAACCACTTCTAGTACCCAGAACCAAGTGACAACTTAATGGGATCAACTGACAATTGGATGGGCTCATACACAGGCCTTTAGTTTACCTTTCTCTCTCCAGTTACTATAAAAGCCACAGGAACTCCACCCCAGGCACTTTTTAAAATATTTTGCTTAGATTACTGGATACATCTTTAAAAGGCTGTTCAAATGCAGACAAAGTACAATACTGGAGGAAATTAACATAGCTTTTAAAAACCATCAACATTTTTCCAAACTCCAAATTCAGTTAATATTCAGTAAACCAATGATACTGACTACAAGAGCAACTGTTATTTAGATTAAGAGACATAAAAGATTTGAAGATCTCAGAATATACAGAGACATCAGAGAGACAAGGAATTATAAGGAACTATAAAAACCAAGAAGAAAAAAGAAAATTGGCAGACTGTTACCAAATAGAGGCTTTTATAACTAGGTCAGACTCATTACAAACCAAAGTGATTTCTGTTTTATCTGTTTTGATTAATGATGAAACTAATGAAACAATGCCTCTTAGGTCAAAACACTAGTTTGCAAGAACATTATGATAGAGTACAGGCAACATTTGTTAGTTCATGCTACTTCATCAATAGCCTTAACTGTTAAACCACTTTAACTCATGCAAAGACAAAGCCTGACACTCAACAATCATTTAAAATCCCTAAGAGGCTGGGAGCAGTGGCTCATGCCTATAATCCAGCTACTGGGGAGGGCAAGGCAAGAGGATCACAAGCTCAAGGCCAGTTTGGGCAATTTAGTGAGACTCTGTTTTAAAAAAATTAATAAAGTGTTGGGGTTGTGGCTCAGTGGTAGAATACCTATCTTCCTAGCAAGTTCAAGTACTTAAATTTATCCTCAACACCATACACCAAAATAAACAAAAACATCCCTAAAGAGGACCTAGATAGGTTACCATAGGTAATCTCAATGACCATACAAACTCCAAATAAAGATTCTTCCAAAAGGCACTGCTGTCTAAGACCCAGAGGCATGTTCACATCCACTTGACTAGCAATATCACATAAACAATGGTGGACTACATGAGCTGAAGGACAAACAGATTTTGAAGACTGTGGATATCATTATACTAAATTTTGATCTGACCACTTTGGAAACAAAAGGGATCCAAAAGCCTATATATCATTTAAATGAAGAAGGAAGACAACCAAACCAGTTCTTATGTATGTTTTGTGAATTTTTAAAAATAGAAAATCCACTGTAAACACCATTTGTACTGTCTTGCCACTCAAAACAAAAATCCATTAAATCAAACTTTACCTTGAGAAGAAATTCCTTTAATAAAATGAGAGGTATTAAAGGAATTGGAAGAGGTGAAGTGTGTGCTATCATATAGAAAAAATTAAAATATTTGTTCCCTCAGGTATAGCTTACCAAGATAAAGGAATCACTTACAAAAGGGCCCTAGCTCATTAAAGCCAGGGCTTAAGGATAATTTTCTTTCTATTTAAAAAGACTTCTAAATATATTATACTTCATATGTACAAGTGCTTTTGGTACAACACAAATAGTGTTAGATATAATCAACTAAGTTACTACCTTATAGTTACTGTAGCGCATGCCTCATTTACCTGGCAGCATCAGAGAAGGTAGTGGTCCATAAAAATGTACTTTTCAGTGAACATAGTACATTTATTTTTTATTTTTCAAACAGTGCTAGGGATCAAACTCAGGAGGTCTCTGCATCCTAGGTAAAAGCTCTACCACAGAGCTACATCCCCAGCCCTGAACAGAGTAAATAAGTGTGAGTAATTTTTACTTTTTACCATATCAAGTAAAGATGTTTCTAAAAGAAATGCTTCTTTTTGAACAACAATAAGGAACATTTGCTTCCTCTCAGTCACACAATAGATGACACTGTGTCCACCTTTAGCAGTTTCTTCTGGTTTTTGTTATCAAGTAGGAAACCAGTTAAACTGAGGTAATTAATGTACCTTCCCTGTTGGCCTTCCAGAGCCTCCATGGGCTCTAATGGGGTACTTGACAGGACTACCTGAGTGTCAATAGGCTTTTGTAACATCTGCTTTGGTCTTTGGGGGATCAATTCCAGGTTGTTTTTTTATTTTGGGTAGCCAAAACTGAAAAGTCACTACTCTATACTCTCCTCTAGTAAAATCTTAATACAGCATGAAAGGTGTGTTATTTTTCTGCTATGGCTATTTTTAAAATTTTAAATTTCCTTTCTGTGGTCTTTCTGACAAAAAGAAAGCTTTTTTTTTTCTTTTTTCTTGAGGGGCGGAGCTACCAGGGATTGAAGCTAGAGGTGCTTAACTACTGAGCCACATCCCCAGCCCTTTATATTTTGAGACAGGTTCTCACTAAATTGCTTAGAGCCTCACTAAATGGCTGAAGCTGTCTTTGAATTTGTGATCCTCCTATCTCAGCTTCCCCAGTCACTGGGATTATAGCATGTGCCACAGCGCCTGGCTATAGTTAGCTTTTTTTTCCCATTTACACGTTTTATTTGGAAATGTTTACACAAGTACAGGGAAACTAAATTTTTGAGATAGTGGATACTATTAGATTATCAGTTTATTATAAAAGAGACATGGAAATTATTTACATGATGAAAGATTTCAGAGCTTGAGTGGAGTGGGCAGCTTCATAGGATGCCACTTCAACAGAGATTCGTTTCAGTCTACCTACTTTCCAAGAATGTCTCCATCTCTAAATAAGAAATAATCCTTGTCATCTAGAATTACTTTGGTGCCTCCATACTTTGGGAGAACTTTACCTCCAACCTTTATACTAACTGGCTGAATCTCTCCACCCTTTCCTTTAGAGCCTGATCCCACAGCTACTACTGGTGCTTGCAAAACTTTTCCTTGAAATTTTTCTGGAAGCATAATGCCTTCTTTGGTTACAGTTTCGGCTGCACTCCTTTCAACCAATACTCTGTCAAAAAGTGGAAGAAACTTTCTAAATACTTGTCCAGCCATGACTCTGCACCACCGCAGCTCGGACTTCACTCTTGGTTAGCTTTTAACAAGTGACAGTACCATCAAAGAAAGCAGGAGTCAATAAAAGAAAAGCTTTCTCACTTGATGGGTTTCCAGTACATCTTCTAACTAAATTTACTCTGAACTAGAGAAAGAAAGCTATATGCATTTGGATCTGAATGGAAAGTTCTTATCCCCTTCAATGGACAAAGCACATTCAATCCCATGGTATGTTATGGCTTTTCAGGCTTCCTCTGGAGATCCTGAGAATTAATAAGAATATCATTAGAATTCTAAATGCTACTTTAAGTCTCCAAAACTCTTACTTTGAAGTTTTGAATCCTCTATTTTAAGAATGATTTTCAAATCAACTAGGATGTCAATGCTATCATGCCCTCTACTGGGGGATATGAATTTACTATACATAAATTTTTTTTCTTGCAGTGCTGGGCATTGAACTCAGGGCCTTGTATATGCTAGGCAAGTGTGCTATACCACTGACCTATTTCCCCAGAGCTGAAGCACTGTCAAGAGTCCTGATTTCAAACAAGCTCCTCAACAGTTCTCACAGCATTATTATCAAGGACTGCCTGCTTTATATCATAACCCTAAATACTTTTTATTTTTATTCATTCATTCACTTATTATTTATTTATTTATTTTGCAGCCCCAAGGGGCTATATCCCCAGCTCTTTATTTAATGGTGCTGGGGATTGAACCCAGGGCCTTGTGCATGTGAGGCAAGCACTCTACCAACTGAGCTATATCCTCAGCCCCTCCCCAGCTCTTTTTACTTTTTAAAATTTTGAGATAGGGCCTCACTAAATTTCTGAGGCTGGCCTCAAACTTGCTATCCTCCTATCTTAACTTCCTCAGCCTCTGGAGTTGCTGGGATTACAGATGTGTTCACCATGCCTAGCTAGATGTATTGTTTTAAATTCAGAACACTCATAAAACATTTCAAATTTTTAGAAAATAAAAAAATTTTCATTAAAGTCCCTAACAATCTAGGAAATCTGACTATTTCAGGCTTTCTATGCTATTTGTTATAGATAAAAAGCAAGATTAAATGCATGCCCCTATTAAAGATTCAAATTTTTATCCAGCTGAAGAACGTAGAGAACAGAGGGATGATGTCAGTCCACTGAGAAATTTACTGCTGCCTATAGAATTCATTATTTACAAGAAGAGAGAAATCTATCCCCTCTGGATCTTTTGCACAGCAATGTTTTAGGGGAGATTTGTGGTGATTTCAGCCCTGTTTGTAAAGAACCCTGTAAAAAGCATTAACTTTTGATCTTTGCTATTTGAGAATTAACCCCAAGGCTAACTGTATATTATAATCAGATATGTAGATGAAAGATGACAACAGTAATTGAATAAAACAGCACAGAACATCTGATAGGCCTCTTAAAGTTAGAATGTCCTAGACACAAAGACACACCACAGGCCTTAGGGCCCAAGTCAGTGTTAATCCATGTCCAGATTTTGTGACCATAATCAAATTCATAACATGCCACACATTTTTAAACATGTAATATTAAGATTCTCCCTTTAAAAAAAAAACACAAAGTACATAATCCCTTGGAGAAATAATTTTAACACAGTTTAAGCCATCTGTTACTTACATACGTATATTTAATTCTACATGTAAAATGTTTAATACAGTATCTGACACATGGAAAACTTTATAATGGTAAGACTATATCACACTTGAAAAACATTTTTATTATATTCAGGAAGGTATAATCATATTATTCTCTTGCTTAAAAGCTTTTTTAACACTGCCTCATAACATGGCAAATTAAATACAGTACTTAATTTTCTTGAAGCATACACCATATACCTGAGACCACCATAAGCCTTCAAAACTGAGAAACCCACTTTTAGTACATCATTACCTACATAAACTATGATACCAGACAGCAAATACAAACTCCTGTTCTCATGGGCTTAGCTTGCACCCAGTTAACATGTCAGTGGGTTAAAGGGCAGCTCTATGAACTTGATGCTTCCACTGAAAATGGGCTTAATATTCAAGATCGTTAAGAACACTGATTGAACCTGTTTTCTAGTCTCAATTCTTTATATTCTTTTATGTTCCCATTGAGTTGTTGTCATTTGTATTTCCCTGCCTCTATTTCTTTTCTTTTTTTTGGGGGGGGGAGGGGTATGGCATTGGGGATTGAACTCAGGGGCACTGGATCACTGAGCCACATCCCCAGCCCTATTGTGTATTTTATTTAGAGACAGAATCTCACTGAATTGCTTAGTGCCTTGCTTTTTCACGGAGGCTGGCTTTGAACTCTCGATCCTCCTGCCTCAGCCTCCCAAGCCTCTGGGTCCCTGCCTCTATTTCTGCTCTGTACTCTGCCTTAAGTGACTCTGAAATTCGTTCCCACGCTATCCAAATTTCCACTTGCTAAAACTCTGTCATTTAACATTAGTCACTACTGCTACACACATGTTGTTGTAAACCTTGTGTACTGACCTCTGAGTGGTACTCAACATTCCACTCTTATCATCCACACAGCTCCCAAAAGCCCAAGGAATAGAGTCATGAGGGCCTAGATTGTCTTACCAGAGAGCTTTATCTGGCATATTCTTTTCCCAAGGTTCCCTATCTCTTCCTTTAGGTAGCTATTTCTGTCTACCACTGTAAGATGGAGTCAGCCTCTTGGGAAAACCATGTGTGAATCAAAGAGCTTTGGCAGGGCTTAGTCCTCCTGTTCTAAGCAAGGAGAAAGGTCCTTTCTCCCCTTCCTTCTGTGGGGTTTGACTCCCCTCACCACAAGAGTGATAATATATGGGTGTGATGTGAAAGAAGGCACCAGGGAAGTTGTAAGATGTAAGATATAAGCCTGTTGGGCATAGTGGCACATGCTTGTAATCCCAATGACTATGGAGGCCGAGGCAGAAAGATCACAAGAACAAAGCCAGCTTCAGCAACTTAATGAGACCCTCAGCAACTTAACAGAGAGCCTGTTTCAAAATTAAAAAAAAAATTAAAAGGGCTGGGGACATAGCTCAGTGGTAAAACACCCCTGGGTCTAATCCCCAGTGGGGGGGGGGAGAGAGAGAGAGAGAGAGAAGCCTTATTGAGCTTATTAGCAGCCCAGACAAATGAAATTCCTAAAGTACTCTTATAGTCTCTCCTCCTCACTCTGGCCTTAGGGACTCTACATGATTAGAGAAGAGTGATTAGGCATGAAGGGTTCCTTGTGAATGCTGTCCTCTGGAACTGGAACAACACTAAGAGGATGTGAGAGAGATTCAATCAAGCAATGAAGCTTCCTGATGACAGCATTAAGATCGTTCCTTCCTTGGTATAATTAAAGCATGAGATGATGTTTTCTCCTATGGCAGTTTGCTCACTTGCCCTTATCAATGTTTTTTTGTAGACCACCCCTTAATAATGTAGAAACTACAAAAAGACAGGGACTGTGCCTTCCTTACCTTCTATTTACCCTCTACCACAAACACTTACTCTAAAACTGAATAGAAATCTTCAGTGTAGCATGATTACACTGGGATAAGAACACAACCTCCCCCACACCACCCCCATCCCCACTCCACCCCACCCTCATACCTTTAATAAATAAAGAGAACTCTGGTCCTGGGGAGATTTGAGAAAGTTTCTGGCATCTTCCGGACTTTTGCATAATTAATAAATCCTCTGAGAAACAGGAGAAAGCCTAATTTAAAAAAGAAAAGTCAAGTGAATTTATAATTTCCATGTTAAGTCTTCACCCCAGAAATATCCCTCTTGATAGCAATTCTTTGTCATTTTTCTGCTAAAGGATATTAAAGCATGAGCAATTTCCAGAATTTCCAAAAGATTTTTTATAACAAATTATCCATTTATCAATGAGAAGGCATAATTTCATGAGCCAAAAGTCTATTTTGCATATTGAGAATCTAATAGGTCTAAAAAGGAAAAAGAAGAGGCCAGACATTTATATTTGAAGGCCACACTATCTACTGAGTTTAAAAAAATAAAAAAAGGATGAAAGTAAGTAAGTAATCCAAGATAATAAGTTCCAAAACAGGGAGAAGTTAGAACAGAGTTTTTCTCAGGTAAAAAATATTCTAAACTTTCTTGAGATTTTTTTTTGTTGTTGATGACAGTACATAAAGCTGTCCACTAGATGTCAGGATGCCTCCACCTATTATAACATTTCTCATATTCTCTGCTATTAAGCTCTTCTTTCTCTACTCTCATTAATGCTGTTTTTGTTTGTTTGTTTGTTTTAATGACTATACCAGAGTCTACTCATTTACAGAAGTCTGCACTTCTTGAAATGGTTTGTGGGGAGGTGATGCTACTCTTCCAATGGAAACCACACACTCCTGACTCTCCTTCAGAGATGGTCCTTGAGTTTTGAGTACATTTTAAACACTGCTATTGAAAGATACATAAAGTTTACTGTATATAGTAAGATGGGCTCCAGTTTACTTACTGACTTGTACAACATAACCACAATCTAATTTTAAAACATGTTTCTTACTCCCCCAAACCCTGTGCCCATTAGCAGTCACTACCCTTTCACCTGTTCCCTCCTCCCTCTTTTTTAGTCCATCACTTTCTTTTGGACACATGTTTAAGTATACTCAGAGGTGGAAAACTCTGTACTCAGGAGAAATGATTTGGGCAATAAGCAAGAGTTGTTGTGGCTGGGCTCAGTGAATACAATTCTGTTCAGCATCAAAAGCACACAGTAGGGCTGGAGTTGTGGCTCAGTGGTAGAGCACTTGCCTAGCATGTATGAGGTACTGGGTTTGATTCTCAGCACTGCATATAAGTGAATAAAGGTCCAACATCTAAAAAAATATTTTTTTTAAAAAAAGCACACAAACAGTAAATTAAGGGTTACCCTTCCAAATACTGGGATGGGCGAGGAGGGAGGCAGAGTCCTTCTAAAAGGGAGAGCATGTGACCTGTATATGGACGGGATAGTTACGAATCAGCTCAGATCCAACCAAAGAGTGCTTTGTGGGATGAGAATATAGATCAATTTTGCTGGATACTCCAACTTTTAAGAAAAGTAACACAAAACAAACAAACAAAAACCTCATGGATGATTTCTATGAAAAAATTTTGATTTGTAAATGTTGACAACTATAAGGAAAAAAAAAAACCTGTGGTACAGCTGGACATAGTAACATAATCCCAGCAACTCAGGAGGCTGAGGCAGAAAGACTGCAAGTTCAAGGCCAGCCTGAGTAACTCAGTGAGTCCCTGTCTCAAAATAAAAAATTTTTAAAAGAGCTGAGGATATATCTCAGTGGTAGAGTGCCCCCTGGGTTTATTTCCCAGTATTGCAAATATAAACAAACAAAACAAAGAGTTGAAACAAACCACAACCACAGGCTAGATGTAGTTCATGAGCTTCTAGTCTGAGACCCATGCCAAGTCCCTTGCAGAAGAAACTCCATAAAACAAGTTCTTCTAGAGAAAAGTTCCAAAAATGACCCAAACATTGGGTGCAAAAGCATATAAGTATAACCAATGTCTTAACATGTTTTTGCATATAAGAAAACAGTACACAGCAGGAATGATCAATGATAAAGTATCATAAATCCATCTTCCATGAAACTTTTAAATAAAAAAATCTATCCATTAAATTTCTTTAAATAATTTATGCTGCAATCAACCAGTCTGCACACATACTTAATAATTCTGCTTTGGTTCATTCAGGATTTGATTTAACTTTAGACTTCAGGAGAGAGGGGTAGTCAGGCTTTCTCTTGAAAATACAATTTAGAGAATAAGCAAATCAAAGAATTATTCTCCCTAAGTTATTGTCTTGTTGGTAATTTTTATTATTAAACTTCTCAGTAATCAATGGAGGGGGAAAAAGAAAATCACTTTCTCTCTCTTGAATTACTGGAATTCCAATGACCAACAGCACAGTGAATGATGCTGCTTGCAGAAAAGGACAGGGAATAAAGTGATAAATGACTTGTATTTTCTATGTAAAATTTAGGGTCAGCAACACATGACTCTGTCAAACTAAGCAAAGCAGGTCCTGAATCTATTAAACCTATTAAGCACCTACTGGGTATGGTTACTAGGTTGTGCCAGGTCCATGAGCAGAATACCACCAAGAATCTTTAATACAGAGGCAACAAGAGGGCCCAAACCAGGAGGTAGGAGAAAATAGTGTCACCAATGGGGAACGTGGCAATCACATCAAACAGCTGCAAACAGCCCAGCTCTTGCTTCTAAGATGTAACAACAGTGATGATGGCCTCTCTTATTGTATCATATACATTTTCTAAATGAATAATGAAGAAGCCACATTAAAACAATTCACCCCAGTGGGCTTGTCTATTTGTTTGCTTTGTCTTTTTTCTTTTTACTTCTAAAGGAAATAATGAGTAAAAAAATAAAATCTTAAAACTGATAGTCTGGGCTGAGGATGTAGCTCCAAGGGTGGAGTGCTTGCCTTACATGCACAAGGTCCTGGGTTTAATCCCCAGCACTATACACACAACACACACACACACACACCAACACACCACCACCAACAACAACAACAAAAACTAATAGTCTGAACTACCTGGATTTTTTTTTTTAAAGTTTCCTCCCCACTATAAAATAATTCTTAAATGGTAAACTAAAGAATTCTAGAAAACCAATAACAGTCATTTCAGAAGTTATGTCTAATAAGGCTATCCATTTCTGTTGTCTACTGAGATCTAACCAAAAATGAACTATATACACTCATGAGTTTAATACACCTATGAGCAATTTGAGGCTGAGTTTGTGAACACTTTGTGGCAATAACAGGGAGGAAACTCCACAGATTAACCAGTCTTCTCATGAGTAATGCTCTACTGATCAAATGGGGATGAAGTATCCATAAATGGGTTAAGAAAAACCACTACAGACTCATCATTAACATGCACATTACTCTGATGGTGACAACAGCCTAATCTTTAAGAAAGAAACATTTTCAAAATTATACTTTTAATGGATAATTATTATATTGCTATGTAATAAGTGAGATGATGGTTTACTAAAAGTAATTTTACTTGTAAAATTTAACATAAATTTTTCTCTCCTTATATTATATTAGAAGTGCTTACCTAAAACCAGGAACACCCACCAGAGCCAGTACTGACCATCAAAGTATCCAGGGAAATAGGTGGAAAACTAAAAAATAAGGAAAACACTTTATATCAGCTTAACAAATACAATTTTACACAGTAATTTAATGGCGCATAATATACAAGGCATTTGTTAAACCACTGCTGACATTTAGCCCTTATAAAAGTTTAGAAAGTGCAAGTTGAGGGGATGTAGCTCAGTTGGTAGAGTGTTCGCCTTGCGTGCACAAAGACCTGGGTTCAATCCCTAGCACTCCCCCACCAAAAAAAGGCAAGTTGAAGTATGTTAATGTGTTACTGATTTGAAATGATCTGATAAATGCAAATCTATTTCCTTTCATGAAAAGCAGTCCTTTTATAGCTTTAGTTTTATGGCCTCCTTGTTTTCGGTTTTTGTTTGGTACTATTATGGGCCAGGATGTGCAAGGACCAAACAGACTCCATTTTATCCTGAGACTCCATATCATGTAAGAAATGCTTCTCCTGTGGGAAAGCCCCACCTCTGTACCCATTAATAGTTACCTAGCAATTCTTATACAATATAAAATTGTTCTCTTTGCTTTCCATCTTTCTTGGGCAATGTCCCTTGTCAGAGATTGATTATCTAGACGTTAGTAATCATTCTCTTGTACTCAACTAAGGTCATTTTGACCCACTTCCTTTCTGCTTGCTTGCTGCTATGCCAATCTGGAAAGTCCTGTGGGAAATACCAATGTACCCATTGCATTGTCTCGTTAACTATCCAATTCAGCTTCTGTACTTGCTTGCTTACATTGGCTAAACCTCCAAACATCCCTTTTGTGGTTTTTTGGCTTAAATATGAGGCCAACTTTAGGTGGGCACGTTACTCTGACCATCTTCCTTTTAGAGAGTAGAGTGTCTGCCACTGGCCAGCAATAAGGGCTTAATTGGAATGGCAATGTGTGGTCTGAGAGTTATTTGAGGGTCTTGGTATCAGTTTAACAGTACCAGGGATTGAACTCAGGGGCACTGGACCACTAAGCTACATCCCCAACCCTATTTTGTATTTTATTTAGAGACAGGGTTTCACTGAGTTGCTTAGTGCCTCACTTTCTCTGAGGGGCTGGCTTTGAACTTGCGAACCTCCCAAGCTGCTGGGATTACAGGCGTGTGCCCGCCCCCACCCGTCCGACCACACCTGTAATTTTAAAGTATATAAAAATTTTTAAAGTATATAAAAATTTGACTTTTTAAAAATACCCCCCCAACACAGTATTTGTCCTTCTTAAAACATGCTTCAATGAGAGTTTTACTTGATTTATGCAGTGCTAAAATTAATTGTTTTCCTAATATTGCCTCTTTTCTACAAGGCCCAGTTTTGTTCCTACTCCTCCAGCCTTGCCTTCACCTTGGTTAATCCTATGCTTTTGCTAGTAACTGGTTTAGAAATGAACACAGGGTGTCATTCTGGCCAACAGAAATTCAGGATTTCTGAGAATGCTTCCTTGCTCTTACAGAGAAATGGGGAAAAAACTACCAACAACAAAAAATACAGATAGGCCAACAAGATTTTTCAACTTAAAAAATTTCAATTTTAAGATGTGTGAAAGCAATAAGAATTCAGTAGAAACCATACTTCAAAGTACCGCTCTTTTCCTGCACTAGTCACATGCAACGTTCTCTGCTGGGCAGCAGCAGTAAACCACAGCTCTCAATCAGCCATGTAATCGTGAGGGGAAACTGGCACTCTACTGTATACTCTGATGCTACTCTACATTTGGTAGGTTAGGTTAGGTGTTATCAAATGCATTTTTGACTTAATAATATTTTCAACTTACAAAATAAGTTTATCAGGACATGACTCCATTACAAATGGAGAAACCACCTGTAACTCCCTTTCTCCTGTTGAGTGCCATTGTGTTTCAATGTAGTATCTGAAACTGCCACCTTTAGTGAGAATGATAGCAACATGCTAAATATCAGCTCTCCCTCATGATGTTCATGAACTATTGATTTAACTAACCTCCATTTCAGGACTCATTTTCATGGAGAATAAACTTTCTCCATTGTTTTTCTGATTTTCTAAGCCACTTGGAGCTGGGTTTTCAGTTTCACATTCAAAAAGCATCCTAACTGATTTAAGCTCATCATTTGAATCAGTTAAAAATCAGTCAAAAATTTAGTTTCAAAGAAAGATGAGAAACTAATTCTATCTGTTTTTTTTGGAGGTTTTGATATCAAAGAATTTACTGTAGTTGGAGAATTCATATATAGCAGTCCCCCACCCGTCCATACAGAATGACTTTCAAGACCCCCCAGTGGATGCTTGAAACTGCAGATAGTGCTAAACCCTAGGTATAAAATGTTTTTTTCCTATATGTACCTACCTCCAATAAGGTTTAATTTATAAATTAGGCACAGGAAGAGATTAACAATAACTAATATTAAAACAATTTTAACAATATACTGTGAAAAAAGTTATGTGAGCATGGTTTAGCTCTCAAAATATCATATTGTATTATAAACCTTAGAAACTTCAGTAAATAGGGTGTGGGGGTTTACTCCTGTAATCCCAGAGAGACAGGAAGATTGCAAGTCTGAGGCCAGGCTGGGCATTTTAATGAGATCCTAGCTCAAAAATAAAATAAAAAAGTGTTGGGGATATAGCTCAGTGGTAGAGAACTTGCCTAACATTAAAAGGCCCTGGGTTCAATCCTCAGTACTGCCAAAAAGAAAGGAAGAAAAAGGAAGAGGAGGAAGAGGAAGAAGGGAGGAAGGGAGGAAGAGAGAAAGGAAGCGGAACCCCAGTCTATGATTCTTGCCCATTTATTATCAAGAACTGACCTTTTCACAAAAAGAAAGCACTTTATGGCTTCTTTTTGACATATCCAAATTATGAATTATACTTTGGGGCCATTATTAAGTAAAATAAGGTTGACCTGAACCCAAGGGTTTTGATAACCTGATAATCTGATAACTGAGATGGCTACTAAGTGACTACAGTGGGAAGTTTATTCCGCATGAGTACACTAGCAGAACAATCCTTCAGGTTTTGAGTGGGATGTTTCATTTCATCACACTGTTCAGGATGGCATGCAATTCAGAATGAACAAATTGTTTATTTCTAAAATTTTCCATTTAATACTTTCAGACTTGGATTGATCACAGGGAACTGAACTGAAAATAAGAGAGGCCCATGATATAGTATTTTATTTCTTAATAAACTATAACAAGACTTAGAGAAGGAATGAAAACTTCTTTGTGGCCTAAGTTCTTAACTTAAAGCCCAAGTTTTAGATGAATGCACATTAGCTACCTCGGGGGAAAGCTCCTGGTTTTTATCAGATTCTTAAAGGATTCTGGAAACCTAAAAATGTTAAAAGTGTTCCAGAATAAATAAAATGAAGCTACTTTGAAGAACTGAGTATTTAAGTATGCCAACTTACAATGAGTAAATTGATTTGCTCTATAAGGAAGACAATAGCAATAATAAACTTAACGGAAATCAGAGAATATTTTAAAAGTTGGGATGTTTTATAACTTTAAATAACTTTGTATGATTTTAACTGGCAACTCCCAAATCACTGAAGGTACACACATCTCTCTAATCTGATCCCTAATGGAGCAATATTTGTTAAATATTGTTGTCTGCACAAATATTTTGCCCTAACTAATCATAGAAGGAAGGAAAACAAACAGAGAGAAGAAAATAAGAAGAAATTAAGATTAACAATTCAGAAGAATTAATGAGAGGAATGCCTGTTTTTGATGAAACACCAAAGAAGTGATATCCTTTTTATTATACAAATAACTAATTTTGGACTGTACATACACATTATCTTAAGTATTAAAAACAAGAAGGCAGAGCTGGGGTGTAGCTCAGTGGTAAAATGCTTGCCTAGCATGCATGAAGCCTACATTCAATCTTCAGCACCATGAAAAATAAATAAATAAAAACAAAGAAAGCAGCTGGTGAACAACCTGTAGAATAAACCAATATTCATTAGATTTAACAACAAAAATTGGATGCAGGAACCACTTGCAACTGATTTTGGTTCAACTACATTATAAAACCAGAAACAAAGATTAGTATAATTTTAAATGTTGAGATAACTTCGAAAATGCAAATGAAAAAAGTCAAACATTCAAAATCATTCTGATTATTGTCTCTCTGGAGGATCTATCTTTCCTGTTGTACAACTTACCCTGACAATCAGGATCCACTTAATTAGAGAGAGACCAAATCCTGAGATGGCCCCATACCTTCCTGCAGCTGAGGTGGTCAGGCAAAAAGACAGGAAAAACCCAATCCAGTTGAAGAGGAATGCCACTGAAAAAGCAGAAGGGGAAAAAAAAATGCCAGCCAAGTCTTATTGGAGAAGAAGCAGGAATGCCCTTTACATCTGCCTCTGCTTTGGTGACTTTCCCAAGGATAAAAGAGAGCCTGTCCTTCACAACCCTTATCCCACCTCTCCCAAACATCCATCCTCTTGTCTTCTCCTAAAAGCAATAATAAAAAAAAAATCCTCTTTGAATATCATTTTATACTATTACGTTTATTTCTATTCATGCCCAAAATGCCTTAACAGTCACCAAAACTGTATACTCATGACCTGTGCTCTTCACTATATGTTATATACTTCAGCAAATAAAATAAATGCCTGGGGCTGGGGTGGTGGCTCAGTGGTATAGTGCTCGCCTAGTATGCATGAAGCACTGGATTCAATCCTCGGCACCATATAAAAACAAACTAATGTATCCACCTAAAAATCTAAAGATACATAAATAAATATTTAAATAAATAAATAAATACCTTGGCCATTAAATTGGTGCCCCCAGATAATCTGATTCATGTTACTCATCCTGCTGTGAATTCTAACAGTTTATATAACATTACCTCTAAAAACATTGCATTTTCTTTGTTTTAATAGAGAGAGGAAAAAAAATAGTTGCTCATTCTAAATGAGACTCATGAAAAGATAAATGAACAATAATATCAAAGGGAAAATATCAGGCTGATTTTGACTTATCAAAAAATAGACGCTTATAGAAGACAATTTATCAGACAAGGGCATTTAATTCCTACTCTACAGATTAGGTGTGAATAGGAATAATGTAAAGACACTCTGTGGACTTGGAAAATGAAGCTTAGCTCATGTAAAAATGCAGCCCTCCCATAAATGCTTTAATTATATTTTCCACATATTAATTCAAAGCACCCTGGTTTGTAAGAAGTGACTCTGCTGTGTGTATATACTTACTGAAAAAAGTTAACATGAAAATCCCATCATTTCCTATCCTCAGCTGGTCAGCATCATCAAAATCATCCCGGCCCACAAAATCTTCATCCTAATTGAAAGAAAAAGGTAAATTTCATTTTGCATCATAAAGTAAAAGATATAATTAGAGTTGAAATAAATCTTTCTTTTTAATCTCTATGGTTTTCTAAATAAATTTTTCACTTTATAATCCAAATTCTTTTTTCCCCCCACTGGTGCTAGGAATGAAACCAGGACCTCCTGCCTCCTAAGAACACACTATATCACTTAGCTGCACACCCAGCCCCAGTGGAAAGTCTTTTAACAATACATTTCAATAATTTAAAAGTTCAAAATGAGAAATTATATCCCATCTAATTCAAATGTAAAAAATAATAATAATAATAATTCACAGGCAGGCGCAGTGATGCCTACCTGTAATCCCAGCAATTTGGAAGGCTGAGGAAGAAGGTTTGAAAGTTCAAGGTCAGCCTCAGCAATTTAATAAGACCCTCACCAACGTAATGCAACCCTGTCTCAAATAAAAAATATAAAAGGCTGGGAATGTAGTTCAGTGGTAAAGTGGGGAAAAATATTTTTTAAAGTTCACAAAGAACTATTTTCTTTTTCAAAATTATCTTAAAAAAATGTTTACACATTTGACTTAAATTCTAGAAAATCAGTAATCAAGGGCCTGTTTAGGGCCTATAATGTAATAGCAATTTAGGACCGTACTAAGGAGATAGGAGGAAGACAGCATGATACATAAGCAATCTCTAGAGCTGCCCACTGCTCAACTTGTCCATAAGCATTTGTTTGTGTTGGTATATAAGTCTGAAACAAATTCACCTACAGTCTTACTTGCATACAGGATCTTTTCTATCCTAACTTGAAAACACAATATTGCAGATTTTAAAGAAACACGATCTTGACCAATACCAACATATGTGGCTTATCTTTTCAACTGATGTAGGTATGTACTGAAATATTTAAAGGTAATTGAGTATAACTTAAAATTGAAAGTAACAAGCTCTACATAGCTCAAGAAAGGCACTAAAATTTAAAAAAAAAAAAATCAAAACTTGTCCTACAGAGAAAAGGGTCTGGAGAGGAACATATATACCAAACTGTTACTGGTGGTTACCCTGGAGAAGGGAACTAAAGAAAGGGAAGTGTCAGTGGCAGTTGTTTTTTCTAACTGAAAACACTTCCCTTATCATTTTAAATCTTTATAAGAATGTTTTGTTTTACAGTTGTGTTTTGTTTTTTTGGTGGTGCCATGAACTGAACCCAGGGGTACTTTATCACTAAGCTACACCCCCAATCCTTATTAATTTTTTATTTTGAAACAGGGTCTTGCACCTAGTTGCCTAGATTGGCCTTGAATTTGAGATACTCCTGCCTCAGGCTTCCTAGTCACTATGATTATAGACATGTACCACAATGCCTAGCTTAAAACAAATTTTTCAAAAATATTAAAAATCTAAGTTAATATTAGCAGAATAAGATTTTGTCTTTTTTTTTTTTTTTTTTTTTTTAAGGAAAGTGGAAGGATATTGGGAATTAAACCCAGGGGCACTTTACCACTGAGCTACTTCCTTAGCTCTTTTTATTTTGAAACAGTTTTATAAAAGTTACTGAGGGTCAGTAAATTGCTGGGACTGGCCTCAAACTTGCATTCCTCCTGCTCCAGCATCCAGAGTCACTGGGATTTGCATCATTGCACCCAGCTCGTCCCCAGCCTTTTAAATTTTATTTTGAGACAGGATCTCACTAAATCCAGGCTGACTTAGAACTCATGATCCTCCTGCTTAAGACTCCTGAGTAGCTGGAATTACAGGTGTGCAAGACAGGCAGAAACAAACTGTTTTTTGCATAGCTACACAAAGTTATACACCAAAAATACATGAAGCAACTTATTCTGTATATGCTTTCTAAATGTTCTTCCTGTCCTTGGGATCTTTTCTATCATGATTTCTCCCATAAATAGTTGCCAGATTAATGTTTCCAAAATATTAGACTATCCCTTCAATACTCCTGATTTGAAAGGACTCCACATGAGCCAGATACAAAATTTAAATGCCTCAGTCTAGCATTCCAAGGATCATACAAATGAGAGCTCTGGTCACATCTTTCTATTTCCCTTTAGAAGGTCCTTGCTCATGAAAAAACCAATGATTACATCCACAAAACTGCCTTATACTGGGTTAAATTTACATCTGCTTTCTGGGCTTTTTCCCTCTGGAATGCTCTTAATTCATCAAAACTCTGGGCTTACTACAAATCCCAACTTTCCCCATGATCACCTAGTAAAAAGTCAGTTCTTAATGCTCATTGCTCATCTCAGAGTAGATATGAATATCTGTGGGCCTTTTAACCTAGATGGATTTTAAGCTCTGTATCCTAATATATACAAAGCTCTTTACTCATCCACTACAGAATATGTAGCACCTTATACAAAAAAGTGATCTATGCATATCTCCTGAATAAGACAGCATTAAGAAACTCTTAGGTACATGTCTATAATACCAGCTACTAGGAAGAATAAGGCAAGAGGATTCCAAGTTCAAGGACAGCCTGGGAGAGATATCCTGTCTCCAAAAAGGGGGTGGGGGTGTAATTCAGTGATAGAGTGCTTTCCTAGCATATGTGAGGCCCTGGGTTCAATCCCCAATATTATACACCACCCTCCAAAAAAGCTCATAACTATGCATACTTTTCAAATAAAAGATGAGCCAGATACAAATTTTAAATGCCTCAGTCTAGCATTATACCCCCACAAATGGTATTAATCATCTCCAGAGTGCTCTAGTGCATCTATTCCAACAGGTTTGTAGAGTACACTGAACATACTAGGAAGGACTCTAGAGTCTAGAATACCTAGGGTTGACTTTCACTTCTGCTACTTATTAGCCAAATGACTTCAGGCAAGTTAGTTCATCTCTTTGGACCTAAATTTTAACATCAATACAATGAAGATAATATACTATCTACTTTGAGAGGTTATTTGAGGGTTGAAAACAATATACAAAATATATAAAAGCATCAAGCACAGTACCAAGCACATTTTTTGCTTCCAGTAAATACGGCAGGTCAGGACTGTTTTGTGTTTAGACAATAAACTCCACAAGGGTTCTTAAGTTTTTCCTTAGTACCAACAAGATCTGAATGCATGTTATCATGTAGGATCAGCTTTTACTGGGCTTATAAACTATTTCTTTCAAGCAGTGGTTTTAGGAGCTCCACTCCTTATAGTAGGCACAGCCTATAAACAGCCCACTATCCTAAAGTCAGGGGAACTTCTTTCTCTGCCCTCCCCCACTACTAGAGATTGAACACACTGGGTGCTCTACCACTGAGCTTCAACCTCCAGCTGTTCCAGGTGTCCACCCCACCCCACCCCACCCCCAACCCCAGCCAGAGTTTTGCTAAGTTGTTGACGCTGGCCTCTAACTTACAGTCCTCCTGCCTCAGCTTCCCAAGTAGCTAGTGTTAAAAGTGTGCACCACTATGCCTAGCAGGACTTCTCTTCTTATTTTACCACTCCCTCCAGTTTCTTGCCAGGCCTAGACCCTGAAACCCTGATTGCCCCAACTTTCCAATATGAGGCTCAAGATTCTACATCCATCGATCTTGACCTGCACGAATATTTATGAAACTATATGTATACTGCTTACAAAAACATCAAGAGCCAAGAGTACCCCAAAATCTCTGCGGGCTTATCTCATCTCATTCTCATGAATCAACATCAGGCTAGATGAGATCTGAACTCATTATACCCCCACAAATGATATTATCTGGACTGCTGGAGGAAGTTCAATTCTATGAACTTGCACATATTTGTTCTTTCTGTAGACCTACCTAGCAACTACCTACCTAACACCAATCTATTAATTGTGCAGAATCAAGGCAGTCGGAGTGTTTCCTAAATTAGTCCCTGCTCCAAGATGTTTCAATCACCCTAAGAGACTTAAGAAAGCTGTGGCAGCAGTTTTAGAGACAGAAAAAATAAGCTGACTTTTGTAGTGATCGATTATCTGCTCATTCATACTTCTATAACATTACTTTTCAGGAAGAAATATTTATTATCCTAAAAGAAAACGTACTTGTTTAAAATTAGCTATACTTTTACTAATCAATACTATCCCAAGGAATAACAAAATTGGATAATGAAAATAACAATTCCCATAAAACAGTCCATCATGTATCAGAATGGCAAACTATACTTACTCTTCCAGGGACCAAAGGGATGGTAGCTTCAGCCTTGGTTCTTTCAGCCTCATCGTAACTGGGCAGCGTTGTAGCCACATTATAAGATGGGGGCTTTGGAAACCCAGATTCATCTTTGTAGTCAAAATAGGCTGCAGGAAAAAAAATGTCACCATTGTCTGATGAGTCGCTGAACTAAAGGAATAAAAGGATTTCCATTAATTGTGGCAAATAAAATCCATTCTTTTCCTAAGATACATATAGAATAACTGAACCAAGACATACATGTAGGGCTGGGTGGTAGAGCGCTTGACCAGTAAGCCTGAGGCCCTGGGTTCAATCTCCAGTACAGGAAAAAAAAAAAAAAAAAAAAAAAACAAGAATGTAAGAGACTATGGATGATTTTTAAATTTATTCAATTCTCAGTTATTTGAAATCTAGACTCACTTTGGACCCTTATTTCCAACTGCTTTTCAAACACTACTTGAGAACGCCATCGTGTAGGTTCTCAAAAGGCACGTAAGTTTAATAGTAGAATAAGGAAAACAGTTCAGCAAAAAATACTTCACATGTGTACATGTAAATCTGTATTGTGGTTTCCTCCTATTAACAACGCGTAAATCAACTGGAAAGAAAAAAAAGCCAAAGCTTAAAATTCATTTCTTATTTTGGTACTTTAACTCTTTCACATGATTTTTTACCACATATTATTTCCTTTGGTATGCTTAATTAAGCTAACTAATTCAGTAACAGAACAATTACTTATCTCTATTAAAATTTTCATTTCCTCTTTTTAACACTGCACCTCCATTCTCATTGACCTCTCTTATGAAAGATCCAATACAAGCAGAAAATATAGAGCTGTAAGTGGATTAAATTTTTACATAATTCTTCCAAAAAATTTTAAAATTTGAAAAAATATTCCCATTCTCATCAAGTTTTAAACATTTTTAATTTAATTATAATTAACTTCCAAAATTTTTACTGTAATCTATTACTAAAATGGTCAATCAACATAATGCACATCATTAATAAAAAAGGAAAAATATTCTACTATCATGACATAGGCATAAAAGGTATTTGATAAAATTCATACCCATAAAACACTTAGTAAAACAAGAGAAAAAAAACTTCATTAATCTGGTCACAAATCTCTACTAACAAAAAAAAAAGGTGAACAACATAGTTAATGATAAATTATTAAAAGTTTTCTTTCCTAAGATTTGAGAATGAAACAAAAATATACACTATTACCTCTTCTAACTAAACATTTCTTAAAAGTCCTAGGCTGGTACAATATGACAAGAGAAATTAAAAAAACAGATTTAAAAATTTAAAAAAAAAAAAACCTGTCAATTATAGATGACATTACTGCATATGTAGAATATCCAAAATTATCTATAAACTATTAAAATATGAGAATTTAGCAAAGTCTCTGGATATACAGTTAATATAAACCACGAATCATATTTGTATATACCAGCAACAAATGGAAAATGAAATCATAAAGGATCTTTTACAATAGCACCAATAGATATCAAACACCTAAAAATAAATGGAATAAAAAGTGTGCAGGACCTTCTACAATGAAACCTACAAAATATGGAAAGAAGTTAAAGGCCTTAATAAATAAATCATGTTCATAAACTCAAAAACAACATTATATATAAAAATGTTAATTCTCTTCAAACTGACCCACAAATACAGTGTAATATGAACTAAAATTCTAGCAGAGCTTTTGTTTTGTCCATTTTATGGAAACTGACAACCTGATTCTAAAATATAAATGGAGGCTGGGGATGTGGCTCAAGCAGTAGCGTGTTCACCTGGCATGCGTGGAGCGCTGGGTTCGATCCCCAATATCACATAAAAAAAATAAAAAATAAAGATATTGTACCTACCCCCCAAAAAATTAAAAAATAAAAAATAAATTTAAAAAATATATATACATGGAAATATAAAAGGTCAAGAATAGTCAAAGCAATTATGAAAAGCTAAAAAACTGAAGGAACCCAGTACAGTGGCTCAAACCTATAAGCCAAGCTACTCTGGAGGCTGAGGCAGGAGGATCATCAAGTTCAAGGCTGGTCTGGTCAACTTAGCAAACCCTATCTCTAAAGTAAAACATTAAAGGAGTTGGCATTAAAAAATAATAATTATAATAATTGAATGGGTGCACAGGGCTGACACTGTGGCTCAGAACACTTGCTAAGCATGCACAAGACCCTGGGTTCAATCCCCTAGTAACACAAAAATTTAAAAAAAAAATTTTTTTTTAAGCTGAAGGACCCATAATCAGACATCAAATTTATAAAACAGCAGGGTACACAAGGATAAATAAATCAAAGAACACAATAGTGAGGCATAAAGAGATCTACACAAATATGGTCATCTGAATTAGAATAATGGTAATACTACAGAAGAGTGGAGAAAGATGGTCTTTTCAATAACAGTGCTGGAGCCAAATAGATGTCCAAACTAGAACAAAATTAATCTTGCACATTACTTTATACTATATAGAAAAATCAACTGCAGATGGAATACAGATCTTAATGTGAAAAGCAAAATAATAAAACTTTTAAAAGAAAATGTAGGCTGGTTGTGGTGGCACATGTCTGTAATCCCAGCAACTAGGAAGGCTGAGGCAGGAGGATAACAAGTTCAAGGCCAACCTCAGCAACCTAACAAGACCCTGTCTCAAAATAAGAAACAGAAAAGACTAGGGATATAGCTCAGTACCCTGGGCTTAATACCCAGTACCCAAAAAAAAAAAAGGTCATGAAAATTAAATTGAAACTGCCATGTAATCCAGTTTAAAGAGTTTACTTAAAAAAAAGTCACTTTTCCACATTAACTATTCATGTAAATACACACTTAAGAAAATATAAAAAAACACATGTATGTACATCATTTATTATAAATACTCCATGTATAATTTATTTTTCTTTTAACCTAGTTATATGAAGACATTACAAAAACCTATACTTTAATCTGCTGGCATAGTCATGTTTTAAAATGTCATTTTTTAAAAAATATTTTTTTAAATTATAAATGGACACAATACCTTTATTTTATTTATTTGTTTTTACATGGTGCTGAGGATCGAACCCAGTGGCTCATACATGCAAGACAAGCGCTCTGCCACTAAGTCACAATCCCAGCCCCTGGCATAGTCATTTTGAATACATTAATACAACTGATACCTACTTACTACCTGAAATGAAAACAATCAAATAACATTTTTTAAACATTTATTTTTTAGTTGTAGGTGGACACAATATCTTTATTTTATTATGTGGTGCTAAGGATCAAACCCAGTGCCTCACGCATGCTAGGCAAGCACTCTTCCTGAGCCACAATCCCAGCCCTCAAAGACATTTTTTTTAATCTTTTATTTATTTATATGTGGTGCTAAGGATCAACCTGTGCCTCACACGTGGTAGGCAAGTGATCTACCACTAAGCTATAGCCCCAGCCCACTTAAAGAACATTTTTATTTCTCTATTTCAAATTATTTTTTTAAAAAATTGTAATCCATCAATATGGGTATCTCCTATAATGTTAAGTTTTTATGAAAAGTTTAATGGCAATCTTTGCATGTTTACTTAGTATATTCAAAACAAACATTGTCTAATACTTATTAAATACTCCAATCTATATACTACAAAATAAAGTAACAATAGATTAAGTGAGTATACCTAATAATGACTTGTGCTTTTCCCCCCATCAACAAGTACATATGCTCTCCAGTCTTTAATCATTTTTTTCATAAATGGACTAATGGGTATAAATAGTCAACATTCATCTCAAAAAAAGAAAGGCCCTTTCAACAAGGAGAGAAGGCTATGTTAAAGGTCTCCTTTTTTCAAAAAGGAAAACTCTTGCTCAAAAATCATTAAAAAATTGATATTCTTGTATAATTCATAATCTACAAATAAACACATTTTCTTGACACTTCATTTAATAGGAACTAAAAAGATCTAGAGATGTACGAAGTAAGTTCCTCCCTCCCTGCTTCCTCCCTTCTCTTTATTTTCAAGGCCTGAATATTAAGCTAGCTCGCTCCCTCCCCACCACACCCCTCTCTTTTTTTGGTAGTTGGGATGAACCCAGGGGCACTTTATCACTGAGCCACGTCTCCATTCCTTTATTTTATTTAAATTTTGAGACAAGGTCTCACTAAGTTGTTTAGGGCCTTGATAAGTTACTGAGGCTGGCCTCAAAACTTGTGGTCCTCCTGTCTCAGCGCACTGAGTTGCTGGGATTACAGGTGTGCACTACCATGCTTAGCTTCAAGGCCCAAGTATTAAGATGAAATACCACAAACCCCAAAGACTATATATTTAAGAGTTCATCAGGCCTGTATTCCAGAAACAGTCTACCTTGACTTTATACCCAGTCTTAAGAAGCTTTGATATTTACTGTTCGGGCCCACAGTCAGATAAACAAACACATGAGAAAGAGGTGAAAGGACCTCAAGCTGGTGGCAACAAGGCATATCATCTAACAATGGTGGGGGGGACAAATATGGAGAACCTATTCTTTAATCACAAAGTTCTATAAATCTCAATGAAGTACCTGTATGAATATCTTACAATGAACCCCACTATTTTATATAATGAATCTCCCTCTATAAAAAAAAAAAAAAAAAAAAAAAAAACCTCAATGAAGCCATCACAATACTAGGACATCTACCAGAGACTGTTTCTAACTGTAATCCCTAAACCATACAGAAAAATTTAAACAAAGAATATAAGATGTAAGAAAGACCGAGAAGTGTTTGAGAGAGTTCTGTCTAAAATGATCTAAAGTTTTACAACACAGAAGACAGAAACTCAGATACTATTCAGGAAAAAAAAAAAATCACATTCTGATGATTTGGGCTAGCTAAACATAACGGACTTTTATCATTAATAAAAAATTCTTATTAATTTAATGAGCTGTGATTTTTACTGGGTGCATTTAATGGAAGACCAGAATTTATGGTCTAGAGAGAAAAAAGGATGACGGCATTATGATTTCTTTTCCAAGTCTTGATGTTCCAGGCTTAACTTAGTTCTAGAAGATAATCTAGAAATTTTCCAAAACCTTATATTAGCAGGATTTGTTTCCAGGTATTTACAAATGAAAGAATCATAACTAGTACAAGGCAATAGAACTACAAAGAGTTCAGAGACTGAAGACAAAATAGAGAAATACTGACTGAACTGTTCTGTGTAACTATAACAGCAACCTCAGAGACACAGAGATTATCAATCTTATATCAACTGACAATAACTGTCCAACTGCTGTATTGAAATGAGGCTGTGTCTGAGCTCTACAGGTTGAATGATGTCCCAATTCACCTATAGTATCTATCTTGGAAGCAGGCTGAGTTCAGTCGTGGCACATGGGTCATGTGTATGCCACTCTACCATAGTTCTGTTTTAGAGAATATGGAAGAGTTTCTACCAAAACTGGTCAACTTTGAGAAATTAGAGCAGAACTGGTATTCAGAAACTAGTTACCAAAAGACGTCAATTACTGACATTTTCTTTCTCCTTCCCCAACTTGTCCACACATACATAACAGATAATCTGGCATGAGAAGACTAAGCAAAGAAAGTTTAAGCTATGAGAAACAAATTGGAATGAAAGGGTTGGAAGATTTCTAGTTTTCTTCATTAAGGATTTACTAGCATAAAATACATTTAATACAGTATATTACTGTATCACTGGTATTACTGGCTATAAGTACCAGGATCACAAAGGGCAAAACAGCTAATGAAGAATTCAATCCTAAAACTGAAAGTGATCACCCAATTCCTCATTTTCTACTTTTTTTAAATTTTAAGAGTCAGCTGGAATAAAATTAAGCTCTATACAAAAGCCACAATGAAATGGGCTTCTATCTGTTTTTCAGTTTAGTAAAGTGAATTTTTTTCATCTTTGACCACAAACTAAAAATAAAGCCAAGAATAACTTAAGAAAAGCTGATGCAAAGGCAAATAGCAATAAACATATACTAGACAAGGTCTAAGTGTATTTTATTTAAGAATTCAGTAACCACCTTGCCCCATTACCTACCTGCACTCTCTGCAGAGATGCTGCTATAAGGCGGTGGAGCATCACCTGCAGCCTGTTCAGGTTCCCCAGGCTCTTCTTCATTCTGCAACTATAAAAATTTCAGATATTAATGCACATATAAAAATAATTAGAGAGAAGAGAACCTGAAGATGGGAATAGCCTTTCTGGAAAGCTGGTAGTATGTTTCAAAGCCTTAAAATGTGATCCTTTAAAAAATATATTCTACTCCTAGGAAATTGTTTTATGGAATTAATCAAAGAGAAAATGTTAGATAAAAACGCTATTGCAGCAAAAAATTTGAAGCAATCTAAATTCCAATCAGAGAATTTACTATAGTACTTTTCACAAAGGACTATTAGGCAGTCATGAAAAATAAAAATAAAGTTTTGACAATTAAGACAGATATTCAAACCGTTGCATGAAAAAAAAAGAGAAAAAAGCTAAATTTACCAAAGAGGATACATCAAATAATTTATTTTTTAAAAGACAGATATAAATTGGGTATGTGGTGCATGCCTGTAATCTCAGCTTTGAGAGGCTGAGGCAGGGGAATCTCAAGTTTGAGGCCAGTTTGGGCAACTCAGTGAGACACTGTCTCAAAATAAAAAAATTTAAAAAGAAATGTTAAAGGTCTGTGGGTGTAGCTTAAGAGTGCTTGCTTAATATGTGCAAGGCCCTGGGTTCAATCCTCAGTACTACACACACACACACAGAAGACTGATTCATAATGCAAAGAATATCTAGAATGCTGGACATCTACAATTCAACACTATTATCTCTAAGCAATGGAAGTATAGCATTTTTTCCTTTTTGTTGTTTATATGTATGTTCTATTTTTCTGATGAACATTTATCACTTATATAATTTTATAGTTAGAAAAATAATTTGTTAGGACAAACACAAATCAAGGAAAACCAACAATTATCATTTTATTCAGTTTACACATAGAAATCAAATCTTAAATAACTGAGATAGTTACAAAAACACAAAATTCTAACATCTATTTAGACATCTCCCTTTTCTCCATCTCAGCAACTTTCTTAAATAGCCAAATCTTCTGGTACACTATTTTAATGTTATTTATATTTTTAGTGTTGGGGATTGAACTCTGGGCCTTGGGCATGCCAAGCACATGTTCTACCACTAAGTAAATCCCCCAGTTCTTCTTCAGTTATTTTAAATAACATACTGAAAGTGTCTGCCTGCTGTTGCTGGTATGGACAGTCTACCCAAGTTACCATCATAGGAAAAAAGACTTCTCTTAATTTTTCCAGTGTGATTTGCAGCCCATATTTATTTAAAAGATGAATTTGCTGGAACTGGGAGCCAATCTGTAAAGTACTAACAAATATTCATTGATGTAACCAATTTAGGGGTCTGGCCCTGGCTTCAGCATCATAATGTATAGAGTCAACTGAGATACTTACAAAACACACACCACCTCGAATCAATACTCTTACTAACTCTATCACAGACTGAGACAGAACAAGACCTAAGGTGTCATAACATGAAACAGAACTCCCTAATCCATTAAATTCCAATTAGCCATCTCAATCTCTATGTCCCATGCTATTAAAAACCAGATTCCCAACAAACTTTTCCAATTACTATTGCAAAGCATTCAACTTCAAATGAATTATCATACTTTGTTCTCATCAGCATATATCATCTGGGCATATTTTTTGAGTCCTAGTAATCTAAATCAAAGGCACTCCCCAAATAATTGTGTTATAACCTAAGATAATTTTTTCTTATAAATGAAAGTGTAAGGGCAAAATAGCTATAGGAAAGTCAAATACTCTTGGGATGCCAAATCACAAGAACAGAAGCAAAAACAGCTTTCCAAAAATGTTACCTTACTGTAAGGCAGCCAGGAATGTCCCTTATTTAAGACTTGTCTGATTTCTGACCTGTTTTATATTTCCTGATCTTGGTCAAAGTAATCATATTTCCTCTGTATAATTTAGGTTTCAGAAAGGAAACATGGCAATTCTAAGAAATACAGATGTTCAAAGACTAAAGAGGTTTTACATGCCTGTGTCTATAAGATATGCTGCCAGTCTCCTAGCAACCTGGTAATGTGAAATCTGATCATTGGCCATCACAGTAACAGATAACAGATCGAAGAAATTCCAACATTCTCAGAAACCCCAATTTTCTCTTTGGTGAGGAAAAAAGAAAGACTGCTCCATTAAAAATCATCACTTTAAAATCATGTAATATTTCCATCTTTTAAAAGGGAAAAACAAGCTGGGTACAGTAGCACATGCCTGTAATTCCAATGACTTGGGAGACTGAGGGAGAAGGATTCCAAGTTCAAGGCCAGCTTTAGCAACTTTTGCAAGACCCTCAACACTTTAGTGAGAGCTTATCTCAAAATAAAAAGTTAAAAGGACTGGGGGCAGGGGGGTGGGGGGACTGGCGTAGATGTAACCCAGTGGAAGAGCACCCCTGGGTTCGATAATCCCCAGCACAAAAAATAAAACATTATGACTCTATGGTATAGCAGAGGCTCTATACCACTGGGGTGATCCCAAAATCTCACCTCACCTTCACACTCCGGCTTACTTCTATAATGTTGGTGCTATTTTTAAAAATAAAACTATAATGTGTAGGGGGGAGGAGCAATCACCTTTTTAAAAAAAAATACTTAGTGATCCCTATTATGTTCAATGATAACTTGCTGGACAATAAAATTGGTTTGTTTTTGTTTTTATATCAGAAATTTAATTCAGGGGCACTCAACCATTGAGCCACATCCCCAGCCCTATTTTGTATTTTATTTAGAGATAAGGTCTTGCTGAGTTACTTAGGGGTCTCACTTTTGCTGAGGCTGGCTTTGAACTCAGGGTCCTCATGCCTCAGCTTCCTGAGCTACTGGGATGAGAAGTGCGCCACAGCACCCATCCCCTAAAATCTTAAACATACACATTTTTACACTTTGGGAACCAGGTCAGGTACTCACTAATAAAGGAGAGGGAATGTGTATAGTAAAACTAGAGCGAGCAATGAATTATTTACCTGGTTCCTTTTTTTTTAATGCTACTGGAGATTGAACCCAAGGCCACTCTAGCTCTAAGCTATACCCCAAGCCCTTTTAATTTTTGAAACAGTCTTGCTAATTTGCTGAGGTTGGCCTTGAACTTGCCATCCACATGCCTCAGCCTCTCAAGCAATTGGAATTACATGTGTACACCACCTAAACACAACTCAAAAATTTATTTTTTAAGATTTTCTTTTTCTGTGTCTGGGAACACTTCCAGAGGTCAACGATCTCTTCAGCCTCTCTTCAGAGCTCTGAGAATAAGTATATCATTGTCACTTTGGGTTGCAGTTGGAAAGGCTCAGAGTCTCATATCAATTAGATCACTAGGAGCCTACCCCAGTCCATCTTAACTGTCACAGAAGCTGAATTGTAGGTGATCCTCTAAGAGGCAGGTCTAAAAGCAATAGGAATTTCTGTTACTGCAAAGTGCTACAGGGCAACTGTGATACTAGCTGTTGGGGACTGGATTCTTTTCATCATATTTTTGTTAAAATTTGACCAATTTTACTTAACTCTACTTTTAATTAATTAATTAATTTCATTAATTATTTATTGTGGTTCTGGGTCTTGAAACTGATCCATGGCCTAGAGCATGCTAGGCACTAAGCCAAACACTTAGCTTTACCACTAAGCTAAACCTCAGCCCCTCTACTATGATTATGGCACTTCTTTTTCCAAACAGCATTATTCAACTGCTTACACATAATAGAAAATACTGAGTTTAATACAAAATTGTCTGTAACTACCTTTATCTCTACCACTGAAATAAGAACAATAATCATCTTAAAATTCAGGTGGCCTTTCATTTTACTGCACTCTACATTATTACTTTACTTTCTTTTCTATGTTCCCACTTTAGATATATCATAATCTATAATTGTACCTCTTGGCCTTGATCACCTTCAAATCCCACCCCACATACCCAAACCCACACAGTACTGAGGTTGAACCCAGGTGCACTCTAACACTGAGCTTCATTCTCAACCCTTTTTATTTTTATTTTAAGAGGAAGTCTCATTAAGTTGCCCAGGTTGGCCTTGAACTTGGGATGCTCTTGCCTCAACCACAGTCTCTGGGATTATAGGATGCACTACCATGCCCAGCTTTACTCTAAATTTTAAAAAAATATTTATTTACCAACAAATGCTACTCAAGATTAAGCCTGCAAATAAAATAAAGGATTCTCACCCTTCTCATTTCCTCTGCATCCAACTACTACTGCTATTAGAAATAAATATGACATTTTAAAGACCCCCCAAGAGCCAGGGTACAGTGGTACATGCCTGTATTCTCAACAACTCAGGAGGCTGAGGCTAGAGAATCATTTGAGCCCAAGAGATACAGGCAATTTTGATTAATATAGTGAGATCCTTTCTCAAAAGGAAAAAATCTCCAGTGTGTAGTTCTAGTTCTCAAAGAAATAAATCTGAATTTAACAAGTTTAAAGACATTTATACCACAGGCTTTAATTTGTACTTGAGTTCCCACCCCAGCAAGAAGGTTTCACTACCACCCTCTCCTAAGAAGTTTTAAAGATAATCTTCAGTTTAGAAACAAGCTGTTTTTGAGCAACAGCAGAGCCAAGCCTAGGATTAGTGCTCAATAAGGGGCAACAATTTATAACTGTATCAAATGTCAGTACCTATAGGCACTAAAAAGTCATTCTTCAATTCTCTATATTTACTAAGAATGGGAAAACAACAAAAGAAACCTACTAAATAAAAGCTGGGCACAGCAGCGCATACCTGTAGTCCTAGCAACTCAGTAGGCTGAGGCAGGAAGATCTCAAGTTTGAGGCCAGCCTGGGCAACATGAGAAGACTCTGTCTCAAAATAAAAAATAAAATAAAAAGAGCTGGGGATGTAGCTTGGTGGTAGAGTACCTGCTTTGCATATGCAGGGCCCTGGGTTCAAATCCCACTACTGAAAATCAAACAAACAATCTCATAAATAATATGCTCCAAGAGAGGTACCAACACATGTTATTCAGTTTTTCATTGCTGTGACCAAAACATCTGACAAGAACAACTTAGAGGAGAAAAC